CAACATTCTCGTTGGTTACCCTTACATTAAGAACCTTTAGAGAACTCCTAGGTAAATGAGGAATAACTGAAGCTTCAAAGGCCTCACCTAAAACTTCTTCCAGTTTGCAATTTACTATTGCTTGGATATTTTGATGAATAATTTTATCTTCGAACTGTTCACCTTGCAGATCCAAAATTTTTAAATCTTCACAGTCATGGAAAAAGAATGGTTCCTCTTCAATATCAATATAAGTATCAGTATGGTACAGCAGTTTTTCCAAATGTTGTCCTATTAAAGCCTTAACAACATTAAAACAAATTATTTCGTTAGTACCTCCATAAATTTTAAGAATTCTGAGTTGTAAACAACTTTTCAATTGTTCCAAAATATCTTCTTTTAAAATTGTAAATTGAAAATTTCTCGGAAATTGTAATGTTAATTTAGACAACTTAGAGAGATTACAGAGACAACCTAGCAATGTATCTAACTCATATGAGGGATCATATTCATTAGTGAAAACAACATTCAATCTTTCTAATGTTCTTGAAAGGAGACCCAAATTCTTTTGAAGATTCAATATTGTTTCATCAGAAGTTGATTTCCATGCCACCTTGAGCTTTTTCAAATGGGAGAATGAATTAGATGAAAATACTGAAAAGAATGAACCAGTTATATTTGATAGTGTGTCTCGAGCAAAGAGGGAAAATTTTTCAATCTTTTGTGAAACATTGGAAAGTACTAATGACAGGATAGAATCATCAAAATAACTAGGGTTGATAACCAAAACTGTTAAATTTGGACATTGTTGTGTGATATCCTCAATATTCTTGCGTGTTAGTGGATAGTTAGAACGAAACTCTGTCAAAGATTGAGGAAACCCAATCACGGTTTGATCCATTTCTTCTTCATGGAGCTTTCGTTCAGATACAAGACGCATCAACTCGAGAGTTTTTAAATTTTTAAACTCTTTCAACAAGTGAAAATATTCAGTTTTAAGATTAGTAAGTGTCAATACTTTCAAAGATTCCAACAATGGACTTGCATTCATTATCCACTCAACAATGAAACTTCCAGACACGCAAGTTGCAGCACTCAACCTCAACTCTTCCATTGACAATCGTCCAAGCTCACACAAACCCACATCTAAAAAAGCATATATTAATCGACCATTCATAAATAATAATAATAAATTGATAACAATTACCTGTTAATGACCAGAAATCCAAAGAATTGAATGTAAACAAATCAATAACCTTCAATCGTTTCATCTTGATCAGTAAATTATCCACAACTCCTCCGATCCTATGATTATCCAATCCGATGTGAATAAAGTATTGAGTCTTGTTATTCAGGAAATAATACCAGATCCACTCGGCAAAAGTCTTTGAAATAAATCTCATCTGCAGCAAGTGGTATTCATTGAAAAAACATAGCAAGTGTTCGGCACACAAATCACAAGGTAAATTCTGAATTTTCATTTTTTTTTTTGATTTGACAGGAAATCTTTGTTAAACTGGAATGAAATTGTAATATCTAAATAATTTAAATATTAAATTATTTAATATTTAAATATTTCAATTTTACATGATACAATTGAGGGATCTGATCTATTCTTAAATTCATCCTCAAAATATTTGTTTTGAATGAAATTTGAAAATGTCAACAAATAATTGGTTGTTTGACCTACAACAAATTAAGGATGATATGATGATAAATAACAATGATGATGGTTGGTAGTTGTTCCGATGGTGATGTACCAACTTGAATTTTTTCCTAATAATAAAATAATTTCCAAATCATGATGAAGGATTAATTCCAAAAATTGCAATTATTACTATTATTTAAATGATGATGAGATGATGTGGTGAAATTCTTGGAGTTAATAGATGTGAAACTACTCCAAGAATCAACAGAGTCGTGATGGACTGGTTGTTGCCAATATTTTTGACTTTTTCATTCTTTTCAAAATTGAAAAAAATGTTGAAGAGAACAAGTACCAGCCTTCAACCCAAGAGAAAATTCGGAGGCTCTCTCCTATCAACAGTGCACAATACCAATGGCACCAACTCTAGGGCAACCAATAGAATTAATCATCATGTTGGTTGTCTTTTTTCGAATCCTTCCGTTGGCTTTCATTCAACTATGGGAATTAATTCATCATCATCATCGAATATTAGTACAACAACAACATCATCTAATACTACTACTACTTCGAGTAAAAGAACATCAAATAATAATAATATTCAATCGATTAATATTGGAAATATTAATTTATATTCATCAACATCCGTTCAGGAAGGTGAACAAACAATAGAGCAAGAATTGTTAATACCAAATTATTCATTATTTGGAGAGGATGTTTCACAATTGGATCAACAGAAGGACATTCTTTCACATCTCAAGTGGATGGCAATGAAGGATAAGATGAAACAGGACATGTTTTTGATTGGACATTACGGAGAATTGAAGAGACATTTGGCATTTACATATTGCCAGTTGGCTAGAAGAAGTGTGGAATATGTTTGTATCACTAAAGATACAAGTGAACACGATTTTAAACAAAGAAGAGAAATAGAGACAGGTTCTGCTTTTTATGTGGATCAAGCTGCTGTTAGAGCTGCAAAGAATGGCTCAGTTTTGATTTTGGAAGGAATTGAAAAGGCAGATCTCAACATTTTGCCAATTTTGAATAATCTGATGGAGAATAGAGAAATGGCCCTCGAATCTGGAACCATGCTCATCTCTCCACAACGTTATAAACAATTAATCGAAGAGGAGGGGAAAACACCAGAAGAATTAAAATTAATGAAGATTGAACCAGTTCATGAAGATTTTAGAATTATTGCTATGGGATTGCCTGTTCCATATTATGATGGAAATACTTTGGACCCTCCATTGAGATCGAGATTTAATGCTAGAGTTATTGATTTACCATCAATGGAGTCAATCTTCAGTTCCTTGGTCAATCATAGAACCAATGACCAAGTTCTTTCATTTCTCAGCAATGAACAAAAGAAGAGTCTCTTCTTGTCTCTCATTCAATTCACTCAGTCTATTGTCCATTTGGATAACATGCTGATGAATAGTAAGGATGCTGTAAATACCAATAGCAAGACTGGCTCTATTGAATTGCTCCCAAGATTTCCAATCGATAATTTGAAGAATTTAATTGAAATGTTGAATGATTACAGATCGATATTTGCTTCCTCTGTTGAGAATGTCGAAAGTCTCATCCATACCTTATATCCTTTCGAACTCTTCATGTCGAGAGAGAAGGACAAATCTGAAGATGAAAAATTAGAGCAAAACAAAATGATTGAAATTATTAAGGAGCAATTGAAGGAGTGCTCGACCAAAATTCATGAAATAATTTCTCAAGATTTCTCTCCAGCATCATCTTCTGACCAGAAACAAGAATTAATTGGAAATCTTTTATCTCAAGCTAAGGCCACTCACTTTAAAGATATTGGATTTGTTCTGATTGAAAAACATAGACAAGTTCTCACTGAAATGATGAGATCTCATTTGTGTGGAAAGGATATGTGCTTGATTGGAGGCAAGGGTTCAGGAAAATCACTCATTTCTCATGCCTTTGCAAGTATGGTTGGCTACAAGGCAGTTGTCTTTCCAATGTACAAGGAAATGACTTCGAAGGATTTGCTACAAAAAAGAGGAACAGACTCGGCAGGTAATACCATTTGGAAAAATTCAGTGCTCATTGACTCAATGATTGATGGCTCGCTGTGTATCTTGGACGGCATTGATAGAATGAGTACAGATATTTTGCTTTCCATTCAAACTCTTATTCAAGATCGTGTATTGTACTTGTTCAATGGAAATCGTTATGTTTCACATGAATATTATGACAAGTTCCTTTCTCAAGGATTTACCAAAGAAGAGTTGAGCAGCAAGGGAATTTATAGAATTCATGAGGATTTTAGAATTATTGCTATCGGATTAAATGATTCCCTCAAGTGGCTCTCATTAGAATTATTCAACTTGTTCCATTTCCATACTGTTCCAAAACTTTCCATTGAAGAGGAGGTAGATTTGTTGAGTTCTAGAGTTGGAGCTGATGCATCTAGCCAAAATTTGATTAATGCCCTAATCAGAATCAAGAATGATTACAATAACACAGAATTCAACCAAGACCAGCGTTTAATTTCCATGAGAGATTTGATTAGAATTGTCAAGAGAAGTATGATTTTCAAGGATGAATGCATTTTGACCGCCATAGAAAGAACTACCATGACCTACTTGTTACCAAAGCACCATTTGGAATTATTAAGAAAATTGGCTATCAAGTACAAGGTTTCACACAATCAAAACACCCCAACTGATAAGCCAGTTCATATCGAAAAGACTGACACTCACATACAAATGGATGATATCAAAGTTCCAATTAATTTAAATGCCAATTTATTACTGGTTCCAAAGCCATACTTTGTGCAGACAGAACAACATGCCATTGTGATGAAAGCCATGCTCAAGGATCATCTCATTGGTGATCACAGTTTACTCATTGGCTATCAAGGTGTTGGTAAAAACAAGATTACAGATCAATTTTTAAATTTGCTCCAATGTGAAAGAGAGTACATGCAACTCCATCGTGACATTACCATTGCTTCTCTGACAGTTCAACCTTCTGTTGTGGATGGAGTTTTGACCTACATTGATTCTCCACTTGTTAAAGCTGTTCGCCACGGAAGAATTCTAGTTTTGGATGAAATTGATAAGGCACCTTTGGAAGTTGTTTCAATTTTAAAGTCACTAGTTGAGGATGGAAATATGGTTCTCGGAGATGGAAGAACAATTGTAACCATGAAGGAATATCAAAAGAGAAAGCAACAAAATGATCCACATTTACACAAACTCTTACCAATCATGAAGGGATTTAGAATTATTGCATTGTCCAATCCTCCAACATTCCCATTCCATGGAAATTCATTCTATGATGCTAGTGGTGATATTTTCTCTAATCACTATGTTAGTAATCCAAGAGGTGACAGTGAAATCAAATTGTTGCAAAGTTATGGACCAGATGTTCCATTGTTGATTATCAAAAAGTTGAGCGGTGCCTTTGATGATTTACGATTGGCAGTCGAAGAGGGTGTCATTCAATATCCATACTCTACAAGAGAATTGGTTCATATCGTCAAACATTTACAAGCATTCCCTAACGAGGCAACTCTTCAAGATGCACTTGCTAATGTTTTCGATTTTGACTCATTTGATAGAGAAACTCTTGAATTCTTGGCCAAAGTTTTCCAAAAACATGAAATTCCAGTATCATTCAACAATATTGGTGAGTAGTTTCAAAAGATTTTCAAAGTGCATCAACAATATTCCTTCTTCAGAACAATTTTCTATTAGGATGGCCCAAGAAGTTCCACTTGTAAAAACCAATGAAGGAAAAAACATTTGTTTTCTAAGTTCGAGTAAGTTTTCTTTTTTCTTTCCCATACTTAACCTGAGAAAGATCCAAAATTGACCTCAAGTTGTGAAATTCAAAACGTACCATATTTTATTAGAAATTACACAAGTAATCAAATGTATTACGATGAACCAGATTCTGGAGCTTTTGCTACAAAAAATCCAGCAGACAAATTTACAAATTTGATGGAATTTAGTGAATTGAGATATATCATTAACTTGCCATGCAACAAGGCTAAAGAAATTGTTTCTTTGGAAGATTCTGTACATGTCTTTTCAACATCAAATCCATTTGGAATGATTCATTTTGAGAGTAATGCATGTGATTCATTCAAAGTGACCGAGTTGTACTATATTCAATCTAAATTGGGTCCAAACTTGAGTTTTGTTTCTCTTAAAAACATCAAGGTAGTTGCCTTATTTTCTGCTAAACTTGCTAGACCAGACAGGTTCAAAGTCGATACTCAATCCAATTTCATAGACACTGATGTGTATGCACTGATTTATCATCCAAAACTCAATAAGAAATTTGAATTGGACTTTTCATATAGTCAATTCGTTCAAAATTCTCTGCATAAGGATGTGAGAAGTTTACCGATTCAAATTCTAACAGAATTTACCGATAGCCATTCAATGGTTGGAATCTATCAAAGTGGATCAAGAACAATTCAATTAATTGATATGAGCTCATGGGATCCTTCCGTTCCTATCAAAAGAGGTACACCTCCACATAATTCTAAGAGTATCCACTTGCCTTTTAACATAGACACCGTTAGATGGCTCTCACCAAATACATTCCTGGTTTTAGAGTATGGTGGTGTGAGTAATTATTGGAAAGTTGTGGAATTGAATGGAAATTCTGTGGAAATTAAGGATGTAAGCGACATGTCAACAATATCTCTCAAGGAGTATCATGTAAACTCGAGCGGAAAGGAAAATCTCATTTTTGCTCAACCATTTATCAAGGAGAATACTCCTCAAGAAGTATATTTGAGAAAGATTGCGAGAAAGGATGATTTACTCACTATTGAAACTGATTTATCTCTTCAAAAAGGAAATCCAAAAATTGTCAATGTACAAACCAAGTATTTGAAGAAATCCAACCAATTGGTTCTCCTACATCACGATAACGATGGTCTTCCTACATTGGATGTATTGAATTTTGAAAGGAATACTTATCGTAGAGTAACTCCCCCTGAGAGAAAGTCCAAAGTTGCACCTTCTTTCGATTCTTCCAAGTCTCGATTTGTAGACCTTTCCAATGGATACATTGCACTCTTAGATGAGGAAAACAAACTCTTCTTATTCAATTTGAATGTGGACAAGTTAGCAGAGGAAGCTATCAGCTGGAAAAAGTTCCACACTTCTGGTACCTCTTCTGACTCTCTCAAAATCGAATATATTCAACAAGACAAGGAAGCTAGCTTCCCTAAACACGGAAAAATTGATGATTTGCCTCATGTTGGAGGTAATACTTTTGCGGGTGGCTCTGGAGGGTTTGATACTGCCGGCTTAGCAGGCGCTGGAGGTCCATACCGATTATACAAGGAGGGAAATCCAATTGTTCAAGTTTCCGATGAAGTGAAGAATAATGTTAGTAAGGAAATTTTGGAAAGAGCCAGAGCCATGGCAGAACAAGCATACAAGAAGAGATTGCAAGAAATTGACATGACAGCGCATGAAATGAACTTGTACTCTCAATATAAGAATAATGTGAGCCAGCAAATTGATCAACTGAGAAAAACTCTTGCAGGATTAAAGTGGAGAGATGAAGAGGAGGAACGTGTTTGGATTAAAAATCAAACAACAGGTGAAATTGATGATAACAAGATTGTGGAAGGAATTGTTGGAGAAAAGAACATTTACAAGAGGAGAGCCAATGAAAATGAAAAGAGAAAATCAAATCTTCCTAAAAAGAAGAAGCTACTCCACTTTGTAATGGATGTTTCTGGTTCAATGTATCGATTCAATCATCAAGATGAAAGATTGGACAAAATGTTGGAAATTGCTGTCATTATTATGGAAAGTTTTAAAGGATTTGAGGACAGATATGAATACAAGATTACAGGGCACTCTGGACAAACAAGTTGTTTGGAATTGGTCAAAAGAGGAGCTCCACCAAAAGATGAAAAGGAACGTCTCAAGGTTCTTCTTAAAATGCATGCTCACTCGCAATATTGTTGGAGTGGAGATACGACAGTGCGAGCAATTAGAGATGCTTCAAAGAATGAGGAAAATGATTTTGTTTTTGTCTTTTCAGATGCCAACTTATCAAGATATGGAATTTCACATCAAGATATTGCTGTTCATTTGAAGAAGAATACCTTTATCATTTTCATTGCATCCATGTTTAATGAAGCACAAGAACTCAAGCAAGGTCTTCCATCTTCCAATAGTTTCGTATGTTTGGATACACGAGAATTATCAACAACTTTCAAGAAGATCCTATCTCAAAACATTACCATGAGTAAAAATAAATAAATTATGAATCATATTAGTACAACCTTAAAAGTCCTTTCCACCATTGGCAATTCCAAATCGTGGAATGATGAGATATATGAAAGATTCATGGAACACAATGTTTTGCACGATCCAAAGAATAGGTTCCACCTCAATAGGATATGAATACATGCCACCATCACCTTCCTAACATATTCCTCATTATCAAAAACCAATTATCTAATAGAAATATTCCTTGCTCATCATTTTGAGACATTTTTTAAAATATATTAATTAAATAATTTCATTGTAGTAATAATAAATTAGGAAATAAATATATTACACAATAAAACTACATTTGAGAATATTAATCAGTTTTGGTCTTCTTTTTTGGTGGCTTGGCAGCCTTTTCATTATTGCTCACAACTTCCAGAGTGTGCACGAGAGCATTGCAAGCAGTTTCAGTAAGGATATTTCCCTCACTATCTTTGCAGCAAAATCTTGGAACAATAGAGACCAGCTTGGAAAAGAATGGACACTTGCCATCGTCTCTCTTCTCTTCCAAAATATTGACCAGTTCTTCAGCAAGTTCTTTCTTTGGGAGGTTTCCAGATTCTTCATCTAGCTCTGCATAAACATCTTTGAGTTCCTTTAAGAGCAATTTCTTGGCGAATTCAGTAAAGAGATCATCAATGCAATTGTTTCCAAATACATCATATCTTTCAAAGGATGGAGTTGGAGCTGGTTCTTGAAGTGCCTTATAGAAACAAATGGTGCATAAATCATAGTCATCCTTCTCTGGATCGACATAACGATAACCTCTAATTTTCTCTTTACAAGCATTGCAAGAATAGGTATCGAAATTCTCCTCTCCTATAGTTTGGAAAATGTGATCGTGTGGGTGATCGACATCTTTACAAATTGGCAAATCAGAGCCCTTTTGTTTCATGACAATCTTTTCACAACAATAGCCACACAAATCATATTCTCCACAATCAAGACAATTGTATCTGATTCCAGTAATAGGTTCCTCACAAATGTCGCATGTGAATTCGGGCAAATCCTCTTGTTCTTCCTCTTCCTCTTCCTCAAATTCATCAATGGCTTTGACCCTTCCAATAATTCTACGTTTGAAGAATGCATTGATCAACTCTCTTTCCACATAACCATAACTATGTCTGCACTGATTGACATTTTCAACTAGCTCATAAAATCTATCCTTAGGAAAACAATCAATATGGAAGTTATCACTAGAATCCTTGTCCCAAATATAAGTCTCCCTATGCTCAATCTTGGCACCACACTCGGCACATTCAACACCCCAATATCCATTCTCACCTGGTGTGGAAAATGACAAATCTGTACAACCCAAATCTCTATAGTACATTCTGACAATTTTTATCATCTTTTGTTTCCAACTAGTTTCATCTTTCACTAGGTTTAATCTAGCCTCCAAAACCTCTTTCGTCCACTTTTCCTTCTCCTTCATCACATTGAACAGCAAAGGTTCCCACAAGGCATCAGACAAGGCAAAATTTCTAAATAATTTACAAACTGGTTCGATGCTCTGAGCCAAATCGTACTCATCCAAGAAGGATAATACCCTCAGAAAGAGAGGTTTAAATCCAATACCATCCATGATCCATTCTGGTGATTTCTCTTGAAATAAGACTCTTGATTTCGAATTATTGTTGTTCGATTGTTCCGAAGTTGTTGATTCTTGAGTGTTGTTGTTGATCGGTACGGGATCAGCGAACAAGCAGAGAAAATGATGTAATGGACGAACTTTGATGTCTTTCATTTTTTTTTATTAATTTTTTTTCAAAATCTGGAATTATTTATGGCGCCATACTTTACAATAACGCAAAATGTCTAAAAGAAAGAATTATGTTGCCGTAGCATGACTGTTGGCTTCATCTATAGAATTGATCATCAACTTAGTCTGATTCAGGGAGATTGGATCATTTTCATCATGTCTTGCTAATCGATTCGAGATATGGAGGAGCTTTTCATATTATCAAGAAGCCGACATAGCTCAGTTGGGAGAGCGTAAGACTGAAGATCTTAAGGTCCCTGGTTCGATCCCTGGTGTCGGCAAATTTTAATTTTCCAATATTCCTTTCAAACATAAATCTGTCTTTTAGATTTTATTAATAGAGTTCCGGCAAATGCGTATTTTGAAAATGCGCTTTTTTAAAATGCGCATTTTTGGTACTGGTTTTTTCTGGTAGATATTGAAAGTGGGTATTTGATTAAATTTAGTCAGTGTTTTTCGGTAAATATTGAATTTATTCACTCTTCAACAATTACATCAGAGTCAATATTGAACATGGATTTTTTTGGCATTACTATATACCTTTGGTTGAAGAAATACTGGTATTTCTATATTCATATCAATTTCCTTTACAGACTTGGTCTTGAAAGATCCTTTTTTACCTGGTGTTACCAATCCATATGATGCCAATCTATCTTCTTCATCCACACCATGAGAATCAGTTGGCTGAGTTGAAGTGGAATTTGGATTTTGTGATTGATTTTGTGTAGGATCTGCAGAACTCGAACCAATTTGTATCTAATGAACTGGAACCAAGTTACTATCTCCATGGTAAATATTATGGAACTAAAGACAACAATGGATCAAGTTTCCGAATTCATACCAGAAAAGGAGAAAGAGTTTGCAGCTTTGGCAGAAACAAAGAAACTACAAAAGAGCTTTTTCGAATCTCTCAAAAAACCCAAACAAACGGATCAATAATTATCGAAATTAGAAAGAAACTGTTGGGAATAAATTCAATGTTTATCAATTAATTTCGAAAAATACCGATTAAACACCATGTGGTGGAACTGGTTTTGATGGGTTCAATAAATTTCGAAAAACGTCGATTGATGGCAATCACCAACACCCACCAAAAAAAACCGGTACTGAAAATGCGCATTTTTTGAAAATGCGCTTTTTAAATGCGCATTTGCCGGAACTCTAATGTAAAGATAGTTTCAAATTTGCTACAATGAGCGTTTCAGCGATCACACATCAAAACACAATCCATTAAACATGCTCAAAACGGTACAACCACGGCTAAAAGAACGAAAAAAAATGTCGCTATTTACACTCCTGCTTGCCATTTGTTTATGTGGCTTGATTTATGCCATGCCACATGTCAATGCCACGGCTAGTCAATGCACCAGACCATTTAACACATACAGTTCAAGTGCCAAGAGAAGTACAGCTGCAGCAGTTGCTCTTTCTAAAACATTCGATTTTTCACAAGATATTTTAGCTGCACAAACAGCTGTCAACCAAGAATCTGATGTTTCGACATTGGCAGCTACAAGCTTATTTTCCTTCGGTAAGCTTTCTGCAAAAGCCAAACAAAATGTGAAAATGGCACCAAAACATTTCACTGGTAAAACTGGACCATTATTCGCCAAGATTCAGAATCGTATAATGGAATTCACTGGATTGGACGAAACTGCATGTGTTGCATGTCGATTGAATTGTCTAGATGCCATTCCTACCTTTGGAACTATCTTTAGCGAATGTGAAAATCAATTCTATTATTATGGATGTCAAAAAGTAGCTCCATGTCATTCCATGTCAGATGGCAATGTCGTATTGGAAACTGCTGTTGGTATTTGTTTGGAAAGAAATAAGTGTAAATTGGTAGATTCATTGGTAGATTTGCAAAATACTAGAAGAAGAATTGGATTTGCTAGGAGACGAATGGTTTCGCCAACAATAGACGAAATTAAGAAGGGAGTTGTTTCAAGAGTTGGACAATATATTGATAATTATAATAGAAAACCATTTTCTTTTGGTAAAAAGAGAGGTTTGTTTGGAGGTAGAGGTAGAAATTAAATCTTGTTGAGATTCTAATAAAGTTTAGTTTTTTCTTTCGTTTTATATAATAAACATTTTCCCGCCATTTATAACATACAGTAACAACAGTAAGTTCGAAGTTTAAAAAATAAGCAAAAATAAAAAATTGTTTTCTTAATCCAAAAAAAAAGCGTGGTCTAAAATATCATCACGAATATTAATTTTTTATTTTTCAATATTTTATACATATATTAGAGAGATGAATTCCAGAATATTTGATTGTGCCCAGACGAATAATAGCGAGAGGATGGAAATTCTGCTCGGAACCGATGAAAAGAAGAGGAAAATTCTTGCCAATGGAAGAAATAAGAAGAATTTGACTCCGCTGCATATTGCTTGTGATTGGAATGCTGCTCAGTGTGTAAGAGTCTTGTTGGAGGCTGGTGCTAATCGTGAGGCTGTTGATGATCATGGAAGAAATGCCTTCTCATTTGCAAAGAGAGGTGGATTTATTGAAATTATCAACATGTTGGAAACTTACTACCCGAATGGTAGTTTGATCAATGAAAAGATTGGAAATAAGGGTGGTGCTTCGTCTTCCTCTGCATCAGCATCATCATCATCAGATGTGAAGGAAAATAATGCAAAGATTAGTGATTTAACAATGAATATTGTGCAAGCATCATCAAATCCAATTAAGGAAAACAGTCAAGAGAAGGAGGTGAGATTTGAAGCTCCTCTTAAAAGAACTGCTTCTTATTTTTCAAAGAGTTCAAAGGTGCCAAAAATGGAAGATGATGAATCTGTGAGCAGTGCTGGCTATTCACAATCAGATGATGAATTAGATAGTCCAATAGTCAGTTCTAGAATTCAATGGGTTTCGACTGAGAAACGTAAACAAAGACCAAAATCAAATCCAAACAAGATATCACCAATATCAAGAGTTAGACCAGTAACAAACCAAGTATCAAAGAATACAGGAAGCGAAACAAAGTCATGTGCAACAACATTTGATATTATCAAAACAAAACCAATCAGTAAGAAGGAAACTAAACTTGTCACTGAGAGTAAGGACTTTGATGAGAATGAAAAACAAGTTCTTCTCAATATGAAACGTCAATATTTCAAGATTAACTTACAAGGAGCCGAATATACTATTCATGCAAGACTATTACAAAATGATTCTGAAAAGAAAGTGATATGTTGTCATGGATTTTCATACTGCCAGTCTGGTTATCAATGGATCAAGTTGGCTGCAGCTCTTCATCAACGTGGATGGGATGTCATATTATTGGATTTACCAGGCTTTGGAAAGAGTTCTGGCGCTACTCATCAAACAAGAATTTGGAAAAATGATGGACCTGATATTGTGAAAACTATTTTGGAAGGTTTGTCTTTACCAAGGATATGTGTTATTGGAAGATGTGGAGGAGCTGCAACACTCATGAGAACATTTGTAAAATATCCTCATCTATTTCACAAACGATTTTTGACCCACAACTCAGTCATTGGTGAATGGCCACTTCAATTCGACAATCTCCTCCAGAAAACCAAAACAAAACTCATGGTGACATGGTGTGCAGATCCTGATCACTCTAAAATGTGTGTCGCCTACAAGCATTTGAACTTTTTGAGAAAGACCAATTTTGAAAATGTTAAATTCATGGATATAGACCTCAACTTTTTAGGTAGTGGAAATGGATATGTTGAAGGGATAACTAGAACTAATTTTGTAAATTACAACATTCCAAGTCCAGAATATCTAAAGATGGCTATAACCCACTTGGAAGAAGCTTATGCACCATAAGTGTTGAATCAACATTTCGAATTTGTTAATGATGACAGTTGGCATTTTGTTGGCTTGTTCATTCTCTTGAGAATCTAGTGTGATGGAATAGCTAGTCCCCCTTCCTGATATTGGATCCAAATTAGTTCATGTTTGCCACCTTCAATATTTTTACAAAGTTTACAAAAATTGTTAAAAATCAAATTCGAATTGTGCCAAACAAGCGCAACAACTCTTTCCAAATCTTTTTGTTTTTGGGCCTTTCGCCATGGCTGTTTTTTAATAATACTACATTCGTCATGGATTAGGGCACCTCGGACGAAACTAAATTGTCGTATCCGCTTAACCAGGTACTAAATTGCACTGATTTTTTGAATGTTTTCAAAGTAAAAACAAACGTCTAGATTGCCACTCAACGATGAAACATGCAACAAGCAAACATTTCTCTACATAATCAAAGAAGAAAGCATACGAAACACATTCGAATATATCTTCTCCTCACAATTCTTGGAATTCTTTCTTTATTACTCGGATTGATAGAGATTGGCATTTCCATCGTGTTGGGTATTTGGAGTGCCGTGAAATGTCGTGATGATGATTGTGATGAAAACTTAACAGCATGGATTATAATTCCATTATGTTTGACGGCTGCCATGTTTGCATGTGTTGGGTTTATTTTGATACCTGTTGGGATTTTGGGAATGTTAAAGTGGAGGAGAATGGAAATGATGAATGCAGTGATGGAAAGTCAGCATGTTGCGTCTGTTTAGTTTGGTTTCGAATGTTTTCTAATTTTTGAAAACTTGAGATTTTTTCCTATTGAGAAACAATGAAATAGTGCCAGAATTGGTCAATTTAGATTTTACTGGTTTTTAACCTTATAAATCTTTCCATTTGTGCATTATTTTCATGAGTTATGTTTCGTTTCAATATTACAATTCCATTAGAAACATGTGTTTATTCTACCACGTAAAAACTTCCTTATGGAGATGGAATCTAATTCCATTTCTTTCATTTGCATCCCAAATGGCATTCGAAACTGAAGTTACCAATTGTTCTGGACCACAAACTAAAACACCAACATATGCATTCAATTCTCCTCTTTCTTTCATTTCCTTTTTCACTTGTTCCAAGAATTGTTTTGGATTGGCTCTTCCTTTATGAATAAATGCTGTTTGTTGTGAATTTTCTTCTTTCATTTTGGAAATGAAAATATTTGGTTTTAAATTCTTATTTCCATTCGTTTCCAAGAGTTGAGGAAATACTTGAATCATATCAGTGGTTGGAATTGACCAACAAGTATAAACAGTCTTATCTTGAATATTCTTTTCCAACAAGTGTGAATAAATTGAATGAACTGGTGTAATACCAATTCCACCACCAAACATGACAATTGTCTTGTATCTCAATAATGGAACTGATAATGATCCATAAGCACCTTCAACTCTACAAATTAATTCATTGGCTGATTGAGCCTTCTCTTGAGCAATTTTTGCAACTTGTTTTGACCATCCACTTCCAAAATTCTTTACATGAACTGTAAATTCTAATTCCTTCTTTTTAATCATTCCACCATCAATTTCCTTACAACTACTAACTGTGATTGGATGGTGTTGATATTTTGAAACAGCAGGAATGTATAAGAATATGAAATGTCCCATTGAAGGATTACTGCCAAATGTCAAGAATGGTTTTCTCATTGTAATGGTTGTAACTTGACTCTTTTCATCATATTTGATTGAATCAATTTTGGTTGGAATACCAAATCCAAATACCACTCTCAAAAATACATCAAACAGATATAATAAAATTGATAATGCCATATAAGGTAATAAATTAATATATCCAGAACCATGAATAATTGATAAAATGACAATTAAAATGGACAAGATGACATGTGAAATTAAAAAGACCTCCCATAGCTTTCTTCTTATGACTGGGAATGTCATTAACCAAAGAATAGTCATGAAAAACCATGCAATAATTCCCAAAATTGGAAATGTTGGAGATGTCACATCAACTAAATATAATCCAGATGCATTATAATGAACAACCATTGCAATTCCATGAGCAGTTACAAAAAACCATTGTAAAATACCCAACCATCTGTGATATTTAATTGCTCTATCAAATGAAATTCCAAATAAAACTTGTAAAACTGAATATCTCGTGACTGGAAATAAAATTAATCCAAAATTGAAAACACAAACAGAAGCAAATGCTTTTCCAGCTTCAGCTGATGTTGCATTCACATATCCAAATGCAAACCAAATGGCCACAAGAATCCAATAACATGAAATTACAACAGCTTCACCCAAAGTTAAATCTAAAATGGTATTAATGTAAATTCCAATAAATTTCAAATTGACTTGTTTGGTCAATCTTCTGTACAAGATCAAATCAAGGAATAGATTTGGATTCACTCTTGGTCCAATCACACTCAATAAGAATCCACCAATAACCAACAATCCACAAATGAATGCAGTAGCAATCAAATGCCATCTGTAGGAATTGGCAAGTTTGGTCAATGAGTTCATTGAGATACTTCCATCCTTAATGTTGCCAGTAGAAGAACCACATGTGGCCAATTCACTGCCAGGAGGAGCTGCCAAGTGTGCCAAAGTAGCTGTTTGTAAAAAGTTAATCATGACATTTTTGCCTCTGTAATTGTGGACATATTCCATGGATGTAGATGTTTTGGCTATAGCCCAAGAAATTGAAATTTGTGCATTTGTAAATAAGTGATCCAATGAATCCTTAGTATTGACCAAACGTGTCCATTTCAAATGAAGTTCATAATTTCCACTCACAGATCTTAATCCTCCATTTTTGGAAATGAAATCTTGAGATGAATCTAATGTTGGTGCTTGAAGATTACCTTGCATGTATGTGTCTAATATAACTGGGTTTCCACTTGAATCCACATATCCAAACATTGTATCAGCAGTGTCCATTCCAGAGTTGGTTCCATGATTAAATCCAATTGATGCATAGCCATAAATTCCTGTGGCAATCAATCCAAATTCAATAATTGGTACATTTGCATCATTTGGATTTGTTAAAACTTTCCAATACAATTTCAAAGAATCAGAAGTTCCATAATTAGCAACTAACTTGTAATTAGCTGTAGGATAATCAGCAGAGTTGACCCACTGAGTTAAAATACTTTGTGAATATCCAGTTTGAAGTGAACAGGTCGAATTACTACTACTAGAACCTCCATCCGAAACTACTGGTTGACTTGGCAATACTCCATACTCACCAGTAGCATAACCAGCTGAAAGGAAATTCAAACTTGGACCTTTGCCAGTGCTGGTATGTCTAACCATTCCAGTACTGGTGGAGTGGAGTGCCCAGGAAGTTTTCATGACTGCATTGGTGAAAATGACATCGTGGGAATCTCCTGTTTTAACGAAACGTGTCCACTTGATATGTGTCTCACCTGTGGCCGAGTTGTATCCACCATTTCTTTGAAGGATATCATCGGAAGCATCACTCACTGGTGATTGTGGCTTTGCAACCATCCATGCATCCATGATGGTTACACTTTGAGAAGCACTATTATAATACCCGAAAACTTTATCAATTCATCATCATTAATAATATTAAGTTAATATTGCCAATAACAACTTACTGGTATCACCCTTCATTGGATCTCCATTTAAATAACCAAAGCAAAACGAGACGTAACCTCTCGTGTTTTTGGCCACAGCTCCAAATTCCAAGATTGCATCATTAATATCAGAGCTTTTTTCATTCCTTAATAATTTCCAATATAGCTTGAGATTGGAACTGAATGTGGCCACATTTCCCGATGGATAATCAGTGGAAGATACAAACTGAGTATTCATACTCTGACTGTATACAATAGTTGCCTTACGTTCCGAACCTTTTATTCTTCTAGTTGTATTATAATTATTATAAGTATCTAATATTTTATAATGATGATGATGAAACTCTTGAAAGCAACAACAACATCATCATCATCGTCAATACAATAATCAAACTCCTTAGCCATTGACTCGAAATTAAATGATGATTCTTTGATAACGCCATTTTTCTTATTACTTCTTAATTTGTTTTAAAAGTGCATCACAATTTGGCCATTACTGTTCATTCATATCTCTCACTTGTGTATGGCCACTGTAATAGAAGAAGGTTCTTAGAAGTGGAGTGGATCAGTCTTTGGGTTTTCCAAGTTCTTCATTCCAATATTAGTTCTGATAATTATTAGTGAAAGAATATAATTTGGAAAGTCTGCAATCTTAATCAATGCCATCTTGATGTCATTATCCTATCTCATTTCCTTTGAAAGTTCAGCATTGCATTAGAAATCATTTCCAACACCGTTAAAGAATTTCAGAAACAATTTCATTGACTTTGGGTATTCTAATCAATTTCTATTTTCCCAGATAGGAGTGTTAAATCTATTGCTTGCAACCAGATGGTTACCTTTTTGGAAATTTACAGTATTGAAGCTTGTTTCTTTGACATGGTTTACAATGCTATTTTCAATTTTGAGTTCTCATAGAACCATTCAAAGTTGATTGTAAATTGTAATTTTATAAAATATATGGAAATCTTTATTAATAATCTTACTATCGTTAAATTAGAGTTTCACGGTACACATATTTAATTGCCTACCACTTTTTCAAGAAAATCCCTTTAAAAAACCTTGATTTCCATTAATGATTCTACTAGACCATGTTTAGAACACGGTAACCATTTTAAATTTTACAATATCTTTGTGCATTTCCCTTCTTGTAAATTAAATATTGATACGAGACTACTTGTAAACCCTATAAATGAAGCTAAAATTGCCGTTGCTTCATTCAATAACAAACAAAAAAACAATTAAACTCATTATTCGAATCTCAAAAATGTCTGCCCAACAAACTATGATTGTCATGATGCTCTTGGCTTGTATCATGTTCTTCTTTGCCTCACCAATTAATGCTCAATATTATGAATCTGAAGTTTATGCTGGTGCTGCTGAACAAGGTTTTGCTGCCATGTTGTTGATTGCCATCTTGGCTGTTATTGGAATGGTATTCTAAACTACTGATGTAATTCTAATAATTTCACTCTTCTTCCTTTGTATATTAACTAGTAGTGTCAGCACCCATACCGGTATGCCATTAAACAAAGTGGCATACACCATATTGTATAATATTTGTAACAGTAAATAACATTGTTATTTGAATTCATTGTCAAAACAATTAACCAACAGAGTTAGAAGAAGATAAGCTGCTCACTTTGTTTGATTGCGAAAACTCAATTAATTACTCGGTAACAATCAGAAAGGATTACAGACAAGCTTGCACCATGCCAAAATTTACATTTTTCAAATATTGTAAAAAAAAATTGTGAAAAATGTTAGGTTCACTGTGGAGAGGCTGATTTTCGGAGTGGTTTCTCGTGATGAAACTCTGCGAATTTCACAACATTATTTCAACACGACTTGAATAGTAGTAATAATAGTAATTTTTATTGGTGGATTAGAATTATGAAAATTGGAAATTATTTTTCGTGATGGAAAAATTCAAGGTGATGTTTCCATCACATCCGTATCATTCACTACTATATCTGCTGGAAAAGTGTCAAAGCAACATTGTTCGGAATGGTCAATAGTAGGGTAGGGAACTTTCTCTGGTAAATTTTGAGCAAGTTTTGATAGGTAAAAAACGAATTTACAAACAACATAGATGTTAAATGTGAATAATTTTCACCACTTCAGAAATCACTCAACAACCTGATTTGCAAGCTATAAAACAATAAATAGGTTTTACCAACACAAATAAGAAAACCACATAATATTACCGTTACGAAATTCAACAAAAAAAAATACAACAATCTGTACCAACATGATGACTGAATGCTTTTACTTGAGTGGGACGTAGGCAGGTCTTCTCATCTCACTTCTTCTTCTGCTCACATAAATAATTCCCACCACAGCAATCGAAGTTGCCAAAACCATCAACACCCCACCAATGGTAGCACATATAATGATGGCCAGATTTTCCTCCTCCTCCAAAAGTGATGATAGACCTCTGGGAGGATGATTCTGAGAGGATTTTCCAACAATTGGATGGAATGGATGTGGAGAAATTCCCCTCCTAAAGGTGGGATAGTCCTGTACGGAGAAGGTTGTGCCATTCATCATGATGTTTAAATCTCCGTAGAGTGAGTGGATGTAATGGCTGTTTTGGCAGAGTTTGCATTTGGAGTTTTGACTTCCTTCGATGCAACTTTCCATCTTGTAGCTCATTACTGAGAATTTTGTAAAGATTTCCAGTTGACCTTTGATTTGAGCAGCAGCTCCTTTGCATTCATCACGTGAAGTTTTCTGAATAATCATTTCATAGTTGGCTGTGAGAATATCATATCTGTTAGTGGTTGGTTCAATTTGAGTTGCATTTCTAAACTTGACAAATAATTCAGTGCTTGGATCTGGATTTGTGGAAAACCAATTCGAATCATCATGATACAGAAAATTATATTGGAAAGTATCTGATGGATAGGGAATTTCACTCCTTTCCAGAATTACTGTCAATGCATGACTATGTAATGTGATACGAGTGCAATTATTCTCCTCTGAAAATGCAAATGAATATCCACGAACATATTGAATCCACTTGTAACAGCCATAGGATATGACCGATTGACTAACAGAAGAAAATAATCCAATATTCACCTGACAGGTTAAACTAGCTTGTGATCCAAATTGAAGAATGGTATCATTTTGGACTAGATTAAATGTTGAATGTTGAATATTGACCATAATATCTTTAAATTCATCGGATTTTCTCTCAAGGTCAACTATATGGAAACGTGCTGTTGAAGAACCAAACCAGACAAACATTTGATTAAAATCACTTTCTCTCGTTTGGCTTTCCTTCATGTAAATGCTCCGATAATAGTTTCCCGATAGACATTCATTACTTTTCACAAATTGACCATTCGTCAGTAGAAGTAGTATGCATATCATCATGATAAAGAAAAGTATTGATGTAAAATTAATGTTGTTGTTGGTGCTGAATTGATGAAGTTTAGGTGTAGACATTTTTTCTTTAAATTCAGGAGTTTTGGCAGTTAACACACCGAATCTCCATTGAGGGCGTTGACACTGTAAAATTTCGTCCGCACCATGATGTATTTGCCCTTAGATTGGTTCAACACCATGTTACCATTGTTGTATCCAAAGCATTAAGTTGATGTTATTAATTTCACATATATCCAAATTGGAAATGAATAAATTTGGAATATTGCCAAAGCTGGAAAATAAGGGAGTTTGATAAATAAACTGGACTAAATTTTTTAAATTTATCAAACAAACTCAAACAAAATGAATAGAGAAGAATCCAAACAAGAACAAATTCTATCCGCACAAAGAAAGCAACATCCACATCTAGGACCATCTGGTTGGCCACCAATGAATAAGAAGAGGGATGATACAATCAGCACAGAAAGAATCCAAGGTCGAGAGAATGCTCCTCATGTTGGTGAATCCAGTGTAAACTTTAATCAAACAGAGGATCATGATTGGGTTGTTTTGTAAATATTTTACATTGATATATTATACAGTTGTTTTAGCAGTAAATTCCTCTTCCAAACCTTCCAAAGTAGAAAATCCATCTGATAATGTAATGATTGTTACATCACACAAATCTGTCTTTTCGTTAAACTTGTAAATAAAGTGAGTGCCAACATTATTTTCATCCTCATAGAATAGAACGTTGTAATCAGCTGTTCCATTTCCAGAAATTACACTAGGATACACTCTATACTTGACATTTCGTTTTAATATCAAGTCTCCTGATTGTTTAAAGTCAATATCTGAAAGTTGAATTTCAAATTTGCTAGGTCCTCCTAAAATTACAAATTTTTCTATTCTCAATCGTTAGAATATTCACAATTCTCGTTCAAACTTACCTTTGGCGAGAATGGCAACCTTATTTTGAATCAAATAAGCATCGAATAAGGAACTAGGATTGATTCCGTGCAAACTCAAATCAATTTTGGTCCATCCACTGTGCATTTGTGCTGAACCAAGATTTCCAGTAATGTACAATTCATTATTCTCGGTACAAATTAAAGAAACCCATTGTCCAGCACTAATAGCCTTAATCTTACTATTTGTTGGAACAGTTAGAGGCATTGGATCATAAATCTTGTTTGGTGTTGCATACCCCAATTGTTGATAATCATTAGATCCGAAAACAACTCCACTATCATCCTCAAATATTACTATACAATAAGCATAACCAGAAGCAATCAGTTTGACTGATTTCCCCTTCACTAATGGTGATGCTATTTCAACAGGTGTATGAATATCATGTTCAGAATCTGATGGTTGTTTAGCAAACTGTGCAAGACCTGTATTTCCACAAAAATACAATCTCTTATCAGGTACAGTCACAAAGTAGGTGTGGCCATATCCAGAGTAGGCAGATCCGAATGCCTGTACACCTTCTGGAACGACAACCTTCTTGGCCTTGATTTGTTTGGTATAATCGAGTGAATTCTTATCATCAGTTCCAGTTTGTCCCCTTTATAATTAGATCCAAAATATTTTACATCATGATCAATTTGTTGATGATTTAATTATTTAATTAGATCATTTATAATATTTAAATATTCATATGATGATGATGATGATTGATGAGATGGAATAATAAATTTTGATCAATTCCAAGATCATTATATTAATATATTAATAATATTAAAATTACACACAAATGATCAAAGA